TCATAGTAGGCTTTTTCAAAAAAAAAAAATATCGATTTTATATCTGTATTAGCATTCTTTATCATTTATAATATCTAGATATGTTTTAAAATGCAATTTAAAGCATTTTTGGTTTCGATCATAGTAGGCTTTTTCAAAAAAAAAAAATATCGATTTTATATCTGTATTAGCATTCTTTATCATTTATAATATCTAGATATGTTTTAAAATGCAATTTAAAGCATTTTTGGTTTTGATAAAAGTAGACTTTTTTCAAAAAAATATCGATTTTATATCTATATTAGCATTCTTTATCATTTATAATATCTAGATATGTTTTAAAATGCAATTTAAAGCATTTTTGGTTTCGATCATAGTAGGCTTTTTCAAAAAAAAAAAATATCGATTTTATATCTGTATTAGCATTCTTTATCATTTATAATATCTAGATATGTTTTAAAATGCAATTTAAAGCATTTTTGGTTTTGATAAAAGTAGACTTTTTTCAAAAAAATATCGATTTTATATCTATATTAGCATTCTTTATCATTTATAATATCTAGATATGTTTTAAAATGCAATTTCAAGCATTTTTGGTTTCGATCATAGTAGGCTTTTTCAAAAAAAAAAAAAATCGATTTTATATCTATATTAGCATTCTTTATCATTCATAATATCTAGATTATGTTTTAAAATGCAACTTAAAGCATAATTGGTTTCGATCATAGTAGGCTTTTTTCAAAAAAAAAATCGATTTTATATCAATATTAGCATTTTTTATCATTTATAATATCTAGATTATGTTTTAAAATGCAACTTAAAGCATAATTGGTTTCGATAATAGTAGGCTTTTTTCAAAAAAATATCGATTTTATATCTTTATTAGCATTATTTATCATTTATAATATCTAGATATGTTTTAAAATGCAATTTAAAGCATTTTTGGTTTCGATCATAGTAGGCTTTTTTCAAAAAAAAAAAATCGATTTTATATCTATATTAGCATTCTTTATCATTTATAATATCTAGATATGTTTTAAAATGCAATTTAAAGCATTTTTGGTTTCGATCATAGTAGGCTTTTTCAAAAAAAAAAATCGATTTCATATCTATATTAGCATTCTTTATCATTTATAATATCTAGATTTGTTCTAAAATGCAATTTAAAGCATTTTTGGTTTCGATCATAGTAGGCTTTTTTCAAAAAAATATCGATTTTATATTTATATTAGCATTTTTTATGATTTATAATATCTAGATATGTTTTAAAATGCAATTTAAAGCATTTTTGGTTTCGATCATAGTAGGCTTTTTTCAAAAAAAAAAAATCGATTTTATATCTATATTAGCATTCTTTATCATTTATAATATCTAGATATGTTTTAAAATGCAATTTAAAGCATTTTTGGTTTCGATCATAGTAGGCTTTTTCAAAAAAAAAATCGATTTCATATCTATATTAGCATTCTTTATCATTTATAATATCTAGATTTGTTCTAAAATGCAATTTAAAGCATTTTTGGTTTCGATCATAGTAGGCTTTTTTCAAAAAAATATCGATTTTATATTTATATTAGCATTTTTTATGATTTATAATATCTAGATATGTTTTAAAATGCAATTTCAAGCATTTTTGGTTTCGATTATAGTGGGCTTTTTCAAAAAAAAAAATCGATTTTATATCTATATTAGCATTCTTTATCATTTATAATATCTAGATATGTTTTAAAATGCAATTTAAAGCATTTTTGGTTTCGATCATAGTAGGCTTTTTCAAAAAAAAAAAATCGATTTCATATCTATATTAGCATTCTTTATCATTTATAATATCTAGATTTGTTCTAAAATGCAATTTAAAGCATTTTTGGTTTCGATCATAGTAGGCTTTTTTCAAAAAAATATCGATTTTATATTTATATTAGCATTTTTTATGATTTATAATATCTAGATATGTTTTAAAATGCAACTTAAAGCATAATTGGTTTCGATTATAGGAGGCTTTTTTCAAAAAAATATCGATTTTATATCTATATTAGCATTTTTTATCATTTATAATATCTAGATATGTTTTAAAATGCAATTTAAAGCATTTTTGGTTTCGATCATAGTAGGCTTTTTCAAAAAAAAAAATCGATTTCATATCTATATTAGCATTCTTTATCATTTATAATATCTAGATTTGTTCTAAAATGCAATTTCAAGCATTTTTGGTTTCGATTATAGTGGGCTTTTTCAAAAAAAAAAAATCGATTTTATATCTATATTAGCATTCTTTATCATTTATAATATCTTTCAGTAGACTTTTTTCAAAAAATATCGATTTTATATCTATATTAGTATTTTTTATCATTTATAATATCTAGATATGTTTTAAAATGCAATTTAAAGCATTTTTGGTTTCGATCATAGTAGGCTTTTTTCAAAAAAAAAAAATCGATTTTATATCTATATTTGCATTCTTTATCATTTATAATATCTAGATATGTTTTAAAATGCAATTTAAAGCAATTTTTGGTTTTGATCATAGTAGGCTTTTTTCAAAAAAAAAATCGATTTTATATCTATATTAGCATTCTTTATCATTTATAATATCTTTCAGTAGACTTTTTTCAAAAAAATATCGATTATATATCTATATAAGCATTCTTTATCATTAATAATATCTATTTATGTTTTAAAATGCAATTTAAATACTATTTTCAAAAAAATAATCGATTTCATATCTATATTAGCATTTTTTATCATTTATAATATCTAGATATGTTTTAAAATGCAACTTAAAGCATAATTGGTTTCGATCATAGTAGGCTTTTTTCAAAAAAATATCGATTTTATATCTATATTAGTATTTTTTATCATTTATAATATCTAGATATGTTTTAAAATGCAATTTAAATTATTTTTGGTTTCGATCATAGCAGCTGTTCCTACCTTGCCCAAAAACAATACAGCTCTTCTATAGAGCAGCACGGATCAAATGTAAAAAACTAGAAGTCTCTACGATGTCTCGTTATTGAGATTTCTTGCTGATTAACTTGCTTGCTTGCTTGTTTGCTTACAGAAAGCGTATTTTGCGATTTTCTCAGCAATGCCACAACCAATTTGAAATCTTTTTTTTTTGAAAATGATGTAAAATTTTTGGTCACAAACTTTTCTTTCTGTACCTTTTATAACCAATTTTGCTTCGTTTTCTCACAAAATGCGAAAAACTGATTTTTCAATCTGAACAAAACCAATAGATTCACACGTGTAAACGGTGTGAATATAAAATTGGCTAAAAATGCACCTTAAAAGAAAAGTTTGTGCCTGAAATTTTACATCATTTTCAAAAAACAGATTTCATTTTGGGTTATGCATTGCTGAGAAAATCGTAAAATACGCTTTCTGTAAGCAAACAAGTTAATCAGCAAAAAATCTCAATAACAAGACATCGTAGAGACTTCTAGTTTTTTGCAATAGATCCATGCTGCCCGATAGAAGAGCTGTATGGTTTTTAGCGCATTTTTGAAAACTTGTTTTCGAAAAGGGAGCTCAATAATACACTTTGTTCGTTCGTTCGTTCGTTCGTTCGGGCAAGCATAAAAACTTTGCAACCAGACATCGTAGAGAGCTCGGATTTGTTTTATTAGCTCCGTTACTATTGTTTATTGTCCGATCGAACAGTTAAAAGTCTTCAAGCAGTTTATTTATGCTATAATTAATGAGTTTTTGTTTTGTTTTCAGTGTAACCTGCTCAAATTTTGTTTTACCTCTATAAATTCAAATTTACCTCTATAATTTCAAATTTTTTCTAGCCGTTGTAAAATTTCAAATTTTAAAAAACCGTTAAATGATAAACTTTTTCTATATGGAAATTCATTGCAGCAAATTATTAATTATAATCAAATACTGATCGCTTCGTCAAAAATGCGCGATCAATAACACGAGGACTTTTGTAATTTTTTAAATTAAACATTAAATGAAAAAACTTATAAAGAATGTTTGGCATATTCGTTAAGCTTTAAATCTTCAAACATATGCTGAATTGGGCTCAGTCTATTTGTTAAACTCTAAATTTTTAAATTAACTGAGCATTTTAATGCGTGCATTACAAAGTAATAAGCATTTTTAAAAGCTTTTGTTTTTTGGACATAAAAATCGGTTTTTTGGAACTATTCACATTCTTCCAAACATTCAAATGAATTTTAACGCAAAGAATATTACATAACAAATTAAAGATGAATTAAACTTATTTTAAGTGAATTGAGATAGCCCAATGATTATGCTGATATACAGTTTCCTAGACAAAACAAAACAAAAAAACGTGAACCGGTTTTACTTCTTCTGATTTGTAAAGTAAGCTTTTCGTTCTATGAAAGATCTATCGCGACGTAATTTTTCTCATAAAAAGGGATTTCTCATGCTTTTTATGATATTTTGGCTTTTTTGTGGAAGCTTTGAATCTTCAAGTGGTTGGTCAAGTTTTTTTTTGTATTATTTTAAATGCCTGTTTGTTAGGCTCGTTTTACAGGTCAGAAATCAACTTTTGACAAAATAGTTTTTGGAATTTATTTGTTTCTTGACTGTTGAGAGGTAAAGAAGTAAATAATTGGTGAGTAGAATTAAATTTGATATGACTTTGTTATACATTAATATGTGAGATGCTGGATTTTTGTGACATTTCATTATTTGATCATTAATTCTGGCATTTGAAATTAATTTTAACAACTCTGAAAACTATGGATATGTTTTTATAAAATGTCAAGGGTAATTTAAGATTGTTATACGCACTTTAATTACGCACAATTTAATAAACAGATTCTTAAGATCAATTATAATTCTTTATAATCACAAAAGAATCACTAGAATAAATTTGATTGTGGCTTTAGTCTTAATAGCTTTGCATGTTTCTTGCACAAAAAAATCTAAATAATAGATCCGTTTTTGATATATATATTTTTTCTATCTTAATTTATGTTAATGAAAAATTTGTATGAAACAGTCTATAAAACATACTACTATTGAGAGATTATATCGAAAAAATGGAAAATCATGCTTTTGTCGCAGACAATTTTGATAATCTCAAAACGCTTCAGCGCAAAGAAAGAGCTCTGCTGGTAAGTTTATTCACTGATTATATTAATTAATAGCAAAAATTAATAAGCCTGAAAAAATCTTTAGGGTGATATGCGTGTTGCTTTCATACAAAGAGATTTAAAAGAATTTGCTGAGTTACTTCATAGAACTGGCTATAAAAATGGATTTCATGAAGATTGTGAAATTTCGAACAATAAAATAAGATCATGCATGCATCTTCAAAAGTTAAAGACGTCTCGAAATCTTCTTTTTGAACGTGACGAATCGAATGAAAGTCTATTTGAGGAAATTCTTGGTAAGCAAGGAAAAGGAATTTCCAAATTTATCAGCCTGATTTGGGCAGAGTGTGAACTGTGGAGAAATCAAAATATTTTAACTCAATACAACATAAAAGAAAAGCAACTGGTTGATTATATTATCCAGTCGAATGACGATGGGAATTTATTTGCTTTTTTAGTTTTTGATTTCGAACAAGAATCAGAATCAGTCACAAAAACCAGTAAAAACTACTTTTTGAAATTAAAGAATTCACAATATACGCAAAAAACTGGCAAGTCTGTGTTTCAAAAGATTTATTCAATAATTGATTCTGAAAATGAGGATATTTGTTATAACATAATTAAAAAGTTGCTCGACGAAATGCAACAAATTGTAGACATTCAAGGAGAAACAGCTATTAATGATGTCTTGAACATGAAAAATGAAGTTTATAAGCATAAAACTCTTAAAATTTTATTGACTTATTGGAAAATTTTCTCAAAAGAATACAGTCACTTTAAAGCTGTAGTTTCAAACGTGTCACCATACTACAACTTGTTTCTTACTCTTAAAGAAGGACACGAATTTGAATTTGATGAACTATTTCCAAAGTATTTATACAGCTTAAAAGAAAAATATGGAAAGTGCGAAATCGAGGATATTTTTCAACAAGACTGTAATTCTCTTTTGGAATTTGCTCTTCACGAAGGAAAACGTCGTGCGATTTGTACAATAATTGATAATCCAGCTGTTGATCCAAATAAAGTGGTTATCAAAGTTAATGAATCATCATTTGATAACCAAAATGTTCATTTCTTAATGTCAAAGTTATTAGAGAGGGGCTTTTATTTGGGTAATGACAATAATAGAAAGCACGTGCCAATAGATTGGATAAGTCCTCAAGTTTTCGGGGACTTTCTCGACTCAAAGGTCAAAGAAGATGGTAAACAAATATTGAATTATTAATTTGTTGCGCTTATATAACTTAATATTGTTAAATATCCATTTATTATAGGCATAAATGGATGTCAAATCGATTACAATTTCTTAATAAGTCCAAAGATTCGGAATGAGAAAATTAATGGTGATTGTGATGAAAATGGACGACTCTTATTCAGTGGCGGTCTTCAATCACTTGAAAGAATCCTAGAAAGTGAAAATTTAAGAGCGTTTATAACGCATCCTGTTTTATCGACATTTATTAATTTAAAAGTCAGAAAATATCGGCTGATTTTTAATCTCAACTTCTTCATTTTTATTGTCTTGTACATGATTCCTTTCTTTCTGCTTTTGACACTGATTCCATTTAAAAAATTTTATACGGATATTTTTGAAGACTATGGTGAACCCTACATGCGAAATAATAAAACTTACTACAAACTATTTGGCATGACAAGAGCACAACTTTTTGATCTACCTTATTATGCTTGCTATTTTGCAACCATCTACCTCACTCTTAGAGAATGCTTACAACTTTTTGTCGTATGCAACAGCTTTAAAGACTATTTTAAGAAAAACAGCAATCAGTTTGAAATTGTAATAATTGGATTATCATGGTTCATATTGTATGGTCTAAAGAACTTTTCGGCAAATGAAACTAAAACTTACTTGACAATTCCATCAGCTTTCATCATAATTTTTGGTAATTAATTTCATGATTTTTTAAATCAATACAATTTATTCATAAGTTTATTACAGCTACTGTCGAATTGCTGAGCATATTGCCATATCCATCTATGTCGATTTACATGTTTATGTTGAAACAGGTAAGTTATTTATTCTCTTATCACAAATAATATTTAACTTTTGATGGTTGCATTTTTAAGGTCACAAATACTTTCCTCAAGTTTTTCACAATATTCATCGTTATCATAATAGCGTTTACCTTCAGCTTCTGCATTGTACTTAAGCCTCCTGCAAATAAACTACCATCGCCATGGCGTCAGTTAAGAAGAGATTGGAGCAGTTTTACTGAAACCAGTAATACACCATTTGAGCAATTTAAAGAACCAGCAGTCATGTTTGTCAATACATTAGAAGATGCACTTCAGGATAATGAAACGGTTTTTAGAAATTTCGAAAATCCATTTACATCCTTTCAAAAAACACTGCTGATGTTTTCAGGAGAGTATACAATCGAGCCCTATACACTTGATTCCGTTTCTAAACAAATTCTCTTCTTACTCTTTGTGTTTACATCGTTCATACTGTTTAATTTGATTAATGGTTTGGCAATCAGTGACATTCAGCAGTTGAAGGAACATGCTGAGTTTTTAAATTTAAAACAACAAATACGAAATGCCTCAGAGAGTGAAGGTGTGCTTTGTGATGTTTATTGGAAAGTTTGGTGAGATATTTTTTTGTTGGCATATTTTTTTTGCCTTTTAAGCAACGAATTTTTTTTACAGCCAAACATCAAAGCAAAACAGTTGGTGGCGAAAATGTGTAATGTTCATAATGACTCTGCTCATACGGAAATATCCATATCTTCATAAAATGGATAATTTGTGCATTGATTTTAAGAACAAAACTGTGAAATATGAGTGGGATCACAAACAGACACACATATTACGAACCAACAATGGTAATACGGGAAGATATACACTTGATGGAGAGACAATTAAAAAATTGAGAGAAATAGTTGAAAAACGACACAGCACCGAGGAAAGCGTGAATGAAAAAGTTGAAAACTTGAAGGATGAAGTGAAAAAGTTAAAATTGAGTCTGAATAACCAACATGAAGAGATGAAAAAATTGATGGAAGCATTTTTGTTGCAAAAGAGTTAAATATTAATCAAAAAGGGACTTTTGGGGACAAATTTTACTAGCTGTTAATAATTTTGTTTAATGTTAATTAAATTAAATGGGGTTTTCAAGGTATTCATGACTAAAATAATATTATATAAAATGTATGAAAAGTAAAGATTTTTTATTTTTGTGAATGTTTTTTTTTCAGATTCTTGGATAGTTACTAGAAAAATGAATTAATGATGAAAAGCTGAAAAAAACTAAAGTAAGTACAAGAACTATTTGAATTTGATAATTTTTGATATTTAATTTTTTATTATCTTTTTTATTTCATTGTTCATTCCATTCTTTCTTCATTCCTTAAAAAAATGTTTAAAAAATTTATTTACATTTTACCATTCATTTCATTCAATTCATAATTTTCGTATTTCTTGTTCCTTCATATTTAATTATAAGTAATCGAGCATCTAAAATATTTGCATTATCGATATTTACATAACACATATTTTGCTTAATTCTGCTTGTTTTTTTGAAAATATGATTTAATAGATTTTTAATTAAATAATGAATTTTTTTACTTTATATTTTGGATTGGAATTTAAAAATTGATAAGGATGAAAAACTATCAATATTTAAGACAACAAAAGAAAACAATAAACATTTTTTTTAAAGTGAACATAAACTTAATTTTTAGGTTAAAAGTTTTGAGTACCTTACAACTTTTCTTAAATGAATCTAACATTCATAAACCGAATGAAAATATTAATTTAAATATAATTTAAAAATAATTTGATTATTAAAAATATTGCAACAGTTACAAAAAAAAAGAAAAAATAAGAAATAAAAACAAAAATATAATATTCGTAAAAATAAAAATCAATTCACAATTTTTTGAAAATTGGAAGAGCTGAATTGAAATTACTAATTCCAAGCTACTTAAAAAAATATCCAAAATTATCTATTTGCCTCGGAATTATGCTTTTTTAATTTGAAGATATTTGAATTTGAAAATGGCACATTAAGGGCTGTTCACTTATTACGTTTGCTTTTAAGGGGGAGAGGGATCTAGGATTTTGACACAACTCAAACATATGAAATTATTTCCACACACAATTTGTAACAATGTTGTTTAAAAAGTCGATTTTTTGCGCAACGTTATAACTTATAAGTGAATGGGCCCTAAGGGGTTCAAATTATTTTATAAATTCAGAACCAATCACAAATAAAATTTGCCAAGTATAAAATTAATTTGCAAACAGTTTTAAACATTTCTTACTGTCCAGAAATATTTAAATAATTGCAAAGCAGTCGATTTGAATTATTTTAATGTTTAATGTCCATTTTTATTAAGAAATGATCAAGCACTCAAATAAGTGAAAACTTATCTTCTAAATTAGAACTCAACCGTATTAAAACTTTTCTTTAATTTACCTTAAAAATTAATAGATATAAAATTTAATTTGATTTGATACTCATTCAAATTGAAAGAGGATGTATTCTGTAAGTATGATGAATAGAAAATACTATTAAATTAATGTGAGAATAAGTAAATCTAAATTGAAATTTTTTAACAACACAAAAAACTTCATTATTTTCACTAATTGCGTGTTTTAATTAAATTTTAAAAAAATGAAATTTTTTTAGTATATCTGCTTGTAATGCAGATATGATAACAACTTTTGTGCTTTACAGTGTGGAAATGAAATTCAATTCTGGCATTCTAGTCATTTAGTATTGATGTTAAGATGAGGAATTTGTTAAGATGTTTAACTACAAAAAAAGCTAATGATCTTCTATCATCTAAAGAGTTTTTTTTCATTCAAATTTTTCAAAAGAATTTACAAGAAATCTTGTAATAACCTTGCACAAAAGAATTTTTTATTTTGAAGAAAAATATTGAATAGAATTAAACTCTATTTCTAGCAATTTTGGGTAAAACTCTTTGAATTGAATTCATTTATTTATTTTTCTTTATAAATCTCTCATTTTCCCCATTTTATTTCTTTACCGAATCTACCCTATCAATATTTATTCTGTGTTATTATTTACAATTTTCTTTTTACTTTAATGTTCCTTGATTAAATTTTAAGTTAATGATTACGTACAAAAATATATTTTCTTTGTTTTTTAATAATTTAAATCTTCTCCAAAAATTTTACTTTTAGTTTTTTGTAAGGTATTAATTTCATTTGTATTTCGTTCTCAATACAAATCAACTTAGAAATATTTTTTAAGTCTATAAGTTCTTTACAATTTCATCATTTTTGTGTTTTTGCTGGGTTTTTGCTATAATACATTTTAAATTTTTCTACGTACAGTTCTCAATAAACGAGTTTTTTTATTTCTACCATGAATATAGATTTTAATGATGATAAGAGGGTGAATAACACTGTACACAATAATACAGTTATGTTCAGTCACAATCAAATAGTTGCAAAGTTATTCATCACTAGATGAAATATAAAATATGTGGAATTTAATCTCTTATCAAAATTAATTAACCTTTAGGTTCCTGATATTGTCTCACATATTTCTCATTTCTTTTTTTCCTCATTCTTATCTCCTCAATATCAGTTTCATCGCTTAAAAGAATTTATACACGTACCTATGTAGTTAAATTTAAAGGAAAAATAAATCTTAATTTCAAAAAACTTATGCGTAAATTACTTATTTACATCACTTTGACACTTGTTTGTATGAATTGGTTACACAAGAATGTATATCTACATATAAATATATTCTCATTTCGTATACCAAACTGCTTTATGTCATACTTTTCTTATGGTGATTCATGGACTTATTGAATAAAATATAAAGTCGAGTTTTTAGAGAAAATTCTACGAAAATTTGCTTGGACATTTTGAGAAAGTTGACATGAAGTTTCAAGCTTAATCATATTGAACTGACAGGAACGAGATTTTCAGAATTTAAATTTTAAATCTCTTTTTCTCAATTTATCGATCGACAACAAATATCTTTCACCAATAAATCCATCAAACACAGGATTAATTCTACACTCAGTCATTGAACTCAACAGAATGTGTAAAAATTTCACGAATAAATTGTTTAAGTATCTGTATCTACAAAGTTATGTACAACGTAAAAGAAGTATCTATAACATTAATCCCTTAAAAAATACACTCACTTAATTCTCTGGCACTGAATATTTTTCATTTCTCAGCTATCTTTCTATCTACATTAAATACTTCATCATACCTACATATTTAAATTCGATTCAATTTATTTTTGTTTCATACACAGCGAAATGACTTTCTCACATATGGAAGGGATTTTTTTAGAAAAAATCAATGGATTTATCCAAGATATAATATCACATTTTCATTTCTCGTCACTTTTTTCACATGATATATCTCATATAATATAATATAATGATATAGGAATTTGGCGTCAATAAATCGAAATTATTATAATAAATTTTTACACCCACTTTTCATCTTCCGGCAACACTGGAATTTCTGTTTGCATTTTCATATGATAAAGCGTTGGATCGTAGCTTCCAGCAAGATAATATGTGTCGTTATTATCATAAATTGATTCATATTGTTTCGGTTCATCTCCGAATTTTTTAATATAACCATCCAATTGAAGGACTTCACATTTGTGGGATATTGTTTGTACGTCATTCTCGTCCTCGTGTGGTGATTCAAATAATGCACCCTGAAAAATTTTTAATCGACAGAGAAAGAGATAAAAATTGTTAATCTTCTTTGTTGAATTTTAATGCAAATTCAGGTCATTGGGGGATTGTCATGTATGAAAGTTTATTTCCATCATAACTTGAGCTGCCAGGATGGATTAAAAATTGAATTATTATTTTATACTTACAGGATATTTCAAATTTGGACAGCCTTGTGTCTCTTCTGGATGATAAAACCATTTAACACGAACAACCATATAACCGTTGGCTGTTTCCCACATCGATTCAATATGACCTATATATGGACGATCTGGGCGACCAGTTGATAAGAAAACTGCACTGTCACCGACCTATTGATAGAATTAATAATCTTAATTCGTGTTTTTGCGAGTAGATTTTTCTACATACCGAAATCGTTTCCTTCCCTCTTTGAATAGATCGGTAAAATTGTTTCTTTACTCTGCCTGTAGATCGCTTAAATCCTTTTCCAGACCAAGCCCATAACTGTCGAGCTGGCAAAAATGCAGCAATCTTGCTTCCGCTTTCGTTACTTCGATTGAGCTTCTCTGAGGTTGTAGTTTTCTTTGGATTCTAAATAATTAGAAAATAGTTTAAGAATAAAGCCAAAGGAAGAAACAATTTTTTATTTTTTACATAAAGAGATCCAGAACTTTCAGTAACGCTTGATTCCATTGTATCCGGATCGTCCTTCATTGCTATATCTTGATCGACTTTTTTAACAATCTCATATTGAGTGACACTTTCATTCAATGACAAAGAATCTTCATCAAATTCTTCCTCATTGTTATTGCTATCATTGCTACTAATCAACATGGCACTTTGTACGTGATGCTGCAATTCTCTATCTTCTTCTTCCAATTCACGGTGATGATGCTTCTTATGCTTTCGTCGCTTCTTATGCTTACGATGCTTACATAAATCATCTTGACACTTGTGCTTCTTCTTATGTTTACGCTCTAATACAGCTGCAAATGAGTCTTGTGCATGATCAGGCGATGATTGTAAGCGAATTTTCTCTTTACGCATTTTCTTTAAACGTTTTCGTTCTTCCTTCGTTATGGAAGTACCTTCGATTTGATTGCATGATGATTTTTGATCATGATCTGATGATGGTGCATGACTAGACTGTCGTTTGCGTTTGCTAAGTGATTGTAATGGATTTGGATCATACTCTGTAGGAGGAGGAGCACAATAAACTATACGTGAATATTTTTGATCCCTTAACTTATATGAATGGATAATGTTTTTTTTTTTAAGTTTATATGTTTTAAAAATACTTACCAACAATAGGATAATTGCTAATTAAAAATCGAATGTGATCTAAAACAATTCGTCCACTATCACCATCATCAAATTCAACATTGACATACTTTTCATCAATATCCGAGTCAGGTGAACTTGGTACTGTTGCAACTCCTGGATAAAGACAACGATATTGTTGACTCCAATAAGCACAGAGTCTCGTTCCAGGGGGACACTCAGCTGTGGTCTTTGGTTGTACTTCGAGTATCTATTTAGATCAAATGAAATATGAAGAAAGAAATAGAGAAATGTTTAGCTACATGTGTGCATTAAAATACAATTAAGACATCAAAAAAGGAATGAAAAATAAAGTTAACTTACGGCTTGCTTAAAAATTTCATCGCGTGGCATAATGTGTGGTTTATTTCCACGTTCACCATCGAGCGTAATAGCATAAACTTCAGACGGCTCGACAGGCGTCAATGTCCCGGCATAAAAGAGACCTCCTTGTGCCATAAGCACACGCGTTTTTGTCTGTTTTAAATGTTCGGAACTTATTTTTACTCGCGAATCCAATCGCTGTCGTTCACGATGACGTCTACGCTCTTTATGTTTTTTGTGCTTCGAGTGGTGCTTGACATATGGCTGTTGATGGCGTGAGACAGATGGAATTGTTAAAGGCGATGATGCTTGAAACTTTTGACTGTTTCCATCACCAAAAATAGAGAAGACACGATCATCTTTAAATGCTGATTCTTTTAATATACCACGACCATCTTGATCTTCAGTTTTCACGAACGGAAGCGATGCTTTGCCATTTTTAATACTACTCGTCCACGAGTCAATTGTTGGTGATGCAGTTGTTGTTGTGACTGTTGCAGTTGTCGAAGAAAGCTTTTGTTTTGATGCAAGAATGTAGCCAACAAATGATTTTGACTTTTTAGCAACAATAGTTTCAGTTTGTTGCTTATCACCGTTATTCTTATTTGGTATGCTAAACTTCCTTTTAGATCTTTCCGTATTGCTTCCTTCTCCATCATCTTTGCTTCCAGAGTCTGTATCGCTAGATAGTTTTGGAATGTCAACAAGACTATCAGAATTTGAGGACGATGAGAATGATGGCGAAAGAGCTGGAATAATGCTTAATTTTAAAGGTGAATCTGAAGATGTTGATGCCTTTCCGAGTTGCTCACAAGAAATGGAAGATGATGCTTGTTCTTTTTCAGGACCGTCTGTCTTTATTTGCTTCAGTTCACGTCGCTTTTCTTCACATTGCCTTGTTATATTAGCTAATTTTTTTTGCATATCTTCCTTCATCAGCCTAAAGACATCATCAACAGATGCGATTGGAAAATTATCAATTCTTGTCTTTACTCGTTTAAAAGAATTCGCAAATTCAGTTTTAAGACCATCATCATTTTCATCTGAATGCTTCCTCTTCTTTGCCTTTTTCATTTCCTTATGTTTTGACTTTTTGCTCGATTTTACTTTATGCTTTCGTTTCTTTACCTCTTGATGACTCTCTATCTCATTCGTTGTAGGCGATGATGTAGTTGTTGTGTTGTTTGATTGAAAATCTTCTTCAAGTCGTTGTTCAGCGAGAGCACATAGTAAAGTTAATCCAAAACATCCATCCTCTGGTATTGACTTTGGTACTGATGAGCGTGGAATTGAAATTAATGGCTTATCTATAGCATTCTCGATAATTGGTGGAGTAATAGTTGTTGATGCAATTGTCGGACTTGTTATTTGCATTTGATCGGATGGTTCTTGCTTAATCGTCTTCTTTTGAAACACATCAATGCTGTTTGAGAGCAACTGAAGACCACTGAGATCTACAGGTTCATGTTGTTGTTCTTGATGCTCCTGCTCTTCCGATTGTGATGGTTGTTCTGGCATTTCGTCATCTTTTGCGTCATTTATTGACGTATCAGGTGACTCAATTTGTTGCTTAATATTTACAATTAATGACGATGATGTAACACTTGTGTCAGGTACACTTTCTCGATGCTCAGCAATTTCTTCACGAGTTACTTCTGTTTCTATTGCCATCATCATTGGTTTTTCGTCATATTTCAATGGAGAATGCATATGATCCTGACTGGTTTCATCATCATAATGTGAATCATGTTGCGTCATACCATCATGTCCTGATGAATTGTCATCTTCACTCATTACTGGTGACGTTTGGATATTTGCATCTTGAACTTGTGGAGGAATTGCTGGCGGTATTATGTGTCCTAATTGAGTGTCACTTATACTAGAGGAATGTGTCTGTAAACCTACTGCTGCTGCAGCAGCAGCTGTTAATTGTAATGGAGGTGGAGATGAAGTTGAATGTCGACAGTCTGTATTTTCCATTAATGCAACGGTTCCAGAAGATACCGTTTGAGGTTGTTGTGAAATTTGTATTAGTCCTGGATGCTGATAGAAATATTGTCCATTAATTTCCGTTGGTGTTTGGACAGCCGTTGCAATTGATGCTGTTTGTATTGATTTTTCATGCTCATAAATAGAAGCTGCATTTGATTGATGACCATGATGATGATGATGGTGATGATGATTAATACCATCCTCGATTTTTATAAGTGTATGGGCAGGTAGTGGTAAAGGAACGGCTGTAGTTGTTGTCTGCTGAGTGCATTTTGTACGTTTTGATGTATCTGAAGATGAAGACGTAAGTGCCACAAGTCTTGTACTATGAGTTGATGTATGTTGTAAATGTGACTATTTTCGGAAAGCAAAAGTTTAAAAATTAATGATTTACCGTCGGTGAAATGAGTAAGTTTCAATATTTACCTGATGAAGTGTTGTACTTGCTGTTAGATAGTCGGATCCTAAAAGCGCAAGAGGTGGTGGTTGAAGACTCTGTTGCATTGGAGGTAACAGCAAATGTGGGGGTTGAAGACTTGAAGAAGTTGTTTGTGGATATGTTGGCCACACTAGCGCTTGTGGAATTGGTTCTATGCAAGAGATATTGATTTTATCTAATGTGACTTTATTGCATATTTTTTAAAACAACATTTAAAGAAGAATTTGTTTTAATAAGCGCATGAGTGTATATGTGTGTTTTTTGCGTGTATATGTTTGTATATGATCAAAAGTTGTTATAAAGAAAAATAATTTTGTTTTTTTATGTGTGAAAGAAAAAAGAAAAAAAAATAAATAAAAATAAAAAATGTTAAAATGAGTAAAGAAGCGACTAAGGAATTAGTACAAATAATTAAATTAATTAAACAGTATCAAGCGTCGAGCTTTTGACTTATATTCTTATTACATATTTAAAAAAATTGATCGAATTGTCAATAATATATCAGAAATTTTAATTGATTTCAGTAAAATATGATAATTTATTAATAAGAAGTACCCAAATACTGTGTCACTCAATACTGTGTAATTATGAAAACATACATAAAATTTACAGGCAATTTTAATTTCAATATAATTCTCAAAGAGATCTCAATCAACGGAAATTAAAAATGAAAAAAATCATAATTAACTTGCGTGTGGCTTTTGCAAATATAAAAACAAGAAAAATCATTAAAAGCTTATATGACAGATTTTAATAAATTAAAAAATTTCTGTGTAGGAACATGTGAATTAAAAAAATACTGAAAATTACTCTATTTTAATTTTATTTTACAGCCACCAAAAAAGAGTCAAATATCTCCATTAACCATCGTGTATTTAAAGTTAAAATAAATTGCTTATGTGTGTTTAAAGATGATTAAGAATAAAAATATTAAAAAATTATAATTACCTATCGTTGTTGTTGCTGGAAGGAATAAGAATTGCCCAGTTGATGGATCACGAACGAGCTGAAATCCAACTGGAGGAGGAATTTCCATTGGCATTGCTAATTACATATAAAATAAATTAAAGTCATAAATTAAAAATGAAATAAATTAACATTTGCATTTAAATTAAAATAAACTAAAAAAATTTATAACATGATAAGAAGCTATAGATTAGAACTAAATTGAATTTATAAACAAAACTAGTTCTACACGATGCATGGAATCACGTTTGTTACGTTACTTAGAAAATTTCCTCGCATTTCTTCGAGTTTTTATTCGTCGTGTTGCATTCTCTTCGTTCATTGGTTACACAACCAAAACAAATCTTCTGATTGGCTCTAGAAAATAACATGGGAATGTAGGCGTTAAGCTCCACCTTTAAAATATTTTTTATTTGAACGATTTTTGAAAAAAAATCTGGTTTTTTCATTGCTTTTGAAAAATAAAATTAGAAACATCAGAAGGAATTAACGGTCATAAATGCTAATTTTATGAACTCAGAGTGAATTGAAATAATTAATAAACGAATGTGTTGCATGCCAACTTGAAAATTTATACCACATAGTCTCGTATTTAAGATTCATAGTCTCAGATTGTTATTTTTTCATTTTAAAAAAAATATGCAATTAATTTTATTTCATTGCCACGGCAAAAATAAGAATTATAGTACATTACTAGCTACTTTTTTTCTCGTAAAATCGTGAAAATGAATTCCGAAATGTGTGAGAGCTATGAATAAATAAAATTCCTATTTTCCTCATCACTCTTAAATTAATTATCATAACGCCCTATTGAGTGATTGATTGATGATCTTGCTCTCGACTTGCTTTTCGCATTTTATTTAATTTCATATTTTGTCTTTTTGCACGGAGTTAAGCTCCTCGTAATTCATTTCATTTCGGACAGTATTTTAATTTTATACATTATGTTATACACATGTGTGATTGAGAAATTTAAACAATATTTTAAGGCTGAATAATTTTAAAATTTGTTTATAATTTGGGAAAAGAAATTGGAGATAACATCCGATTTTGAAAATGTTAAAAATAAAGTTCTGTGAAATTTCATGAAAATTCTTTTTGAGTTGAATTATTTTTCATTCTTGATCAAACAGGAGAGAAATACTAAGAAACACGAGAGAAACTTAGTTGAAGAAAACTATTGAAAATTTTTATAAAATTGCTGAAATGAACTCAAAAAAGTCAAACACTGAATAATTTTAATTAATATTAGAATTAAAACTTTTTCACAGTGACAGAAAGAATTTATATTGAATTTTATTAGAGCTTTTATCAGTCCCTGCATTCTTGCTTGAAAATTCCACATATTAAATCACATGTGAAAACAATTTCAGTAAATTTATCCTATTAGCAAGAACCTTTTAGATTATTTTTTGTTGATTTCCATTCGGTTATTTGTCTATGTAAATTTTTAACTTAAAAGCTAAAACTTGCAGTTCAACCTTTTCGATCTTTTTCCTCTCCATCGCACTAAATAAAGTCGATTTAAAGAAAAATGTTTATTGAATAGCAAGAGTAGTAATAAACATTTAAATTTACAACCTGAAAAGTCCCCCAGGTCAATGTAAATAGATAGATGTTATGGCAATTTCCATTTTATACCAAAGAATTGTACATGTACAAACTTTGTGGCATTAACAACTACAAAATACTTTGAAATTTGAAATATATAATATTAAAAAGCGAGCGAAAAAGGTTAAGTTACCGCGCCTGAAATAAAAATGAAAGCCTCACAACGGCACTGTAATGTAAGCGATTTAAAATTGATTCAAATTGAGTTTTGATGCTATATTTTTTTTTTTCAGAGATGAGTTGTGATTAAACATGATTGAACAAGTTTTTAAAGTTAAAACGATCTGTTCACCAGTAAAGTTTACAAAAGTGATGTCTATCGGTATTAACTTGGTTAATATTTTACATAATTGCTGTTAATTAATTTTATTTGTGCTTCTTTAAACAAAATTTTTCAATGTGACATAAACCTCTTGTATATAAGACTTTTCAAACATTCAAATATTTGACAAGCATCTTGCACAACAGCAGCATGCATGCATATAGCTACTGCATAAATTGTTATTATAAAATTATTTATTTTGTTGTTGCAAATTTAGGTTACAAAATGAAGAAACAACACGTAAAAATGAAATCAACCTTGAATGCATGCAAAAAAATATAAATATATTAATTTACATATAATTTGAAGTTGCATGAAACGTCTCACGATATTCCCCTTTCATACGATTGGATAGTATGTATAATGCACATATATGTTACAAAAACACGAAATATATGTTACAGCATAAAGACCAAATAAATTGCTGTTGAAAAATATAAATACAACAAGTTCCAAAGTCATCGGGTGAATACTAAAGTAAAATTTTTACAATAAATTAATTTAAAATTTAATTGAATAGTAATTATTACGTAAACTGTGAGGTACTAAGTTGCATAATTTTTTTCACAATTTAAATATCATTTTATAACTCTTGTGTGTCAGTTTTGATTGCAGACTAATGCAATAATAATCAAAAACTTAAACTCGAATTTAAAATAGAAAACAAATTTAATAAATAGAAATAGTCCTGAAGTTCTCATAAAAGTTATAATTAAAATATTTAAGGTTTATCTATTGAAAGTCCTCGCCAAATGACTACAAAAATTTAAATAAGCATTTTTAGAGCTCACACAAGTTTCGTCAGATACACATTTATTCCAAAAACTTCTATCATCTAAACACAATCGAGGGCCAACTTTGAATTGATGATTGATCTATTTCCAGGAATTGTTTATTTGCAACCAATAACAATTTATATGTGTATGCTACATTTGTACAATACATATATTATGTGAAACTAGACAACAAATTTTAATGAGAAAGCTAGTGCTGCGTGCCATTCTTGGAAGTAAAATTTCCATCATCATCATTAACAATTATAAGAACGAAACTAAGGCTATCTATGTATGCATCTAGTCTTAGCCACTGGTTATTATTATCATAATAACATTTTGCCATTTTCTGTACTCTTTCTCCTTCTCCAGATCATTTTTCTTTAGAAGAAACCCAAAAAGTTATTTTTTATGCTCATTAGGTTGTTTGGCTTCTTTCGCGGAATTCCAATCAAGCACGAATAATCTACTGCTGCTAGTGTATTTGTATATACGTTCATTTTTTGCCATCATCATAATAAATGAATTTAGAAATCTACCTCTGTGCATATGCTTTGTGGTATAACACTGTGTGTGTGTGTGTGTGTTTGTTGTGCAAACATAAAGTTTTTGAATAATTGATTTTATTTAATGAATTTTTCAGCATCACAAAGAGAAAGAAAATTAGGAACATCAAAAAAAAGTTTCTAATGTTTTTGCTCATTTGCAAATTTTTTCTATTTAATAAATATTTCACTGCAGTAAATGTTAAAGCAGATGATGATGATGAGCATATAAAAATGTTTACAAATAATATCACTGAACATAAAAAAATCGAATATTAAATGATGAATGATAAATGAAAAATTCTACTTGTTTGTGAATATTTTTTATATTTTTTGGCTATGGTGCTGCATTGTCAGCAGGAAAAGTTTTTCATTGTTGTGTAGTTGGTTGTCAAAATTGCTTCTTCTATTTCTATAGTTTTTCTCATATTTGATTAATATTTTAATACATCATGCTCTGTATGAACTACATAGGCCCTTGTAATATTATTTTAAGGGGGGGAAATAAGTTTTAGATTCATTTATCATGAGAATGAAATAAACACTTGGATAAAGATATTTTACAGGAATGATATTAGTTGGAAAATTCATCATAAATCTTAACAGTTTTTGTTGAGCAATTTGCAGACAAGTGTCTGAAACTTATCTCGGCAAATGCCTAGACAAATTTTTCTATAAACAAAATTTATATTTATGCTCTTTTTGGCAAGCGTGAAAAAAAACTCTTTATACGTTGAAACAGCGCGACAGCTACATGAATTTTTCACCCTTCACTCTTTTGTAAAATATATTTACATAAAATTGCATCCATACAGGATTTTCCAAAGTTTCTATTACTATTATTATTACCATGCATGTAAAGATTGTTAAGTCTAAGTGTTCATTGATGTACATGAAGGCAAATCTCATTCTCATTTAAGATAATTTTCCATCCGACAACTCATTCGCGAACAATAAATTAAAATGGCAACAACAGCATTGAACTAACAGACATACACACTCATACAGTTGCTGCTTCAAAAATTTTCTTGAGAATGTGCTTGGCACTAAAAAATAAATTTCATGTTTTGAGTATAAAATTTCATTAATCAAGAATCACTGAAAGACTGCCTTGTTGCTCCTTTCAATCTCATTGCTTTTTCACGAAAATAAAAGCAGTTGGAGAAGAAAAAAAAAATCACAACACACATTCTTGTTAGCACAAAAGGCATAAAAAATTGAATAAATAAAATGTTGAGGAAAAGGGTGAAAAAAGAATAATAAAGGATGAAAAAAAGTAAGATGAGAATATGTTCATATTTCTTGTTATAAAATTAATAGCTCAAGTGTAAAATTTTTCTTTCTTCTTATTTGTACAAAAATTTACAATTAAAATTGTACTTAAAATGAAAATTAAGAAAAACAATGGGTGGATATTAAAGAAGTATTTTTTTCAATAGTAACAAGTACACATTATTGTCACATTACTTTGCAGTCAAATGTTGATGAAATGGTATGAGGAATTGGGATATTTGATACTTAAAGTTACTTAAACGGCAAACATTATGTTATGTTCTATTTTTAAAATATCGGAACCACGATATCATTGACGCGTATTCGATTGATATAAAATTGTTACTGCTGAATTTAAGTTCCTTTTTTTATGCTGTCAATGCACGTATAATTTCTTTAAATCAATTTAATTTATTAAAATAAATTCCCCATAAATTTCAACCCCTGTGTGTGCCTGCAGAGAAGAACAACAAAAACCAAAATTTTTCAGACTTTCTAAAGTAATTTATTTTACAATCTCATAAGAGATTCAAAGTTATTTGAAATGGAAAAACTTTTATTTTAAAGAAATTGAATAAGGGGCAACCAAGGACGAGAGAAATAGAAGGAGAGAAAAAAAACGAATGAATGATGTGAATATAAAATAGTTAAATAAATTTGTTTCTGTCCTTGCTTTCAAGCCTTTATTTATATTTCAGAAAAAATTTAAATTATTAAAATTAGTTGAAATATTCAACCGATTACCATAAATTTATTGTTAGAAAATTTTGATATTTTGTTGTTGCTGGGGATATCTTTAGCAGTAAAATATCTCATATAAGAATTCCAATAAATCTTAAGCTGTTTGAGAATTACTGATGATATATGGAAGCTTTTGTGTTAATTGTTATATTATTGTGGTTAAAGTAGTTTATTTTAAAAACGTCCTTGTATGCTTTATTTTGGAATTCAATAATAATTGATAAATACAGTAATTTGCTTACAGCATAGAATATTTTTAAAATCATAAAAAATTACGATTAATTTAGAATTCAATTAGTCAACTCAACATTTATTATCGAATTTAAAATAATACAAGTTTAAATCACACTTGCTCAGCTTCATCTCTATATTATTAATAACAGCAATAAAACTAGAAAGTATTTTTTACAACAAAGTAACAAAATAATTATATTATAAGTCATTCTGCATCATCGTGATGGAAATACTTTGTAATCGTATTTATGCAAAAATAAAAAGTAGCTCAGCCATGTACAAATACACACGCAAAAAAGGTCACTAAAGGAAGATTTATTTCATGCCAGTGGTGCAACTACAACAAAAAAAAAATAACCTGAGAGACATCAACAAAGATTAATGGACATTCGCTTTTCGCTGTCAACTTTTTATACTTCAGAGAATTTTATGGAAATAGGGAAAGCTTGCTAATGACCACATTTTTGGATCGAAAGAAGAAAAAAAAAATAATTTTTAGAAAAGAGCTTAATTGTGCAACTAAACCAAAAACTTTCGCTTCGTTTTAACCAAAACCAAAACATCCTAGACATTGAATTAAAAAACTATCAATTCACATATATTAAGCATTCGTAATGAGAGCAATCTTTCAATTCTTAAAATTTATTTAGTAGCTTAATACAGTAGCTTCAAATCACTTATAATATCTTAATCATTATCTTTAAAAATTATCTCATTTGCTTTATATTCTCATATAAAATCATGTATAAATTATTTTAGTCTTTTATTTCAAATGAAACAAAAAAAATCAACACAAATTAATTCAGATCTGAGCAGACACAGAACCACTAAATATAAAAGGAAAGGAGAAGAGAGAAATAAAAATAATAAAAAAACACTTACTTGGATATTGAAACAGTGTGGGTGGCGTTCGATTTTGTGTCATTGCAATGCTCTGATGATTTTGATGCATGACATCAGTCATTGGTATTGTGCCTGTGAAAAACATGTTTTGACTCAGATTTGGTGTTGCTGTGCATCCTATTTTCATTTTTTTTTTTCATGTCAATGTCGATCAATTTAATCATTTATATAATTTTATTCACATTAATCGATAGTTGAGTTTTTTGTCAGTATGTGCATTATAATGATCATTTGAATTGATGATGATGATTGTTGAGAGATTGATGAATGGTGAGAGCATGATAGTGAATAAAAAATTTAAAAAATTAAAAAAATAGAAAGGAAAAGAAAAATAAAATATAAAATCAACATAAAATTTAAAATTGATGAATTTAAAAATAAAATTTTATGTAAAAATATTTTAATACACATATCCATAATGGGTGAATGAACGGAATGATGAAATGTATTTTTAGTAGTTGAAAAAAAGAGAGAATTTTGATGAATAATTGTATTTTTGCTACATTTTAAATAAATAAACATTAATATGAATTGCGTGTGTTCTGGTAAATAGTTATTAATATTATTTTGTATTTTCTGTTTTTTCACTATGGTTAAAGTTGGTAAAAGTATCGATTTAAAATTGCGGTTCAAAATAATTAAAGTTCATGCTTGACATTTTGAACCATTGGAACTTAAAATCTTGGAGCAAATAAAAAAACATTTTACATCAATTAGCACAAAGTTTCTATTAGAGCCAAGGAACAAATTAAAGCTTAATATTAGTTTTTGCTAAGATTCAATTTTTGAGACTTTTTGCTAAAGTTTAACATTACTTAAATTAATTATTACTAATTAAATGAAGTGTGTAATATTGAGAAATATCGACATTTTGTTACTGCTAAGTTAATCAATTATTAATAAGCCTATATCTTTCAATTCCGTAAATTTCCTATTAGCACTCCATAAATTTAAATAAATCTTTATACATTTGATTCCGTTGTAATCATCATTATTACTCCTCCATTACTTATTTTTGATTTTCATCATTTTACTTCATTAACTTTTAACAGAATAAAAATGTAAATAAAATACAATTCGAAGCAATTACTACACTCTACAAAAAAAAATTATCGCTCCCTGCTTTATGTCAACCAAAAAATTAAATTGATTTAATTGAACCGGAAAAGCTTTTTTAACATTCTGCTTTGATTGAATGAAGACATGAAGAAACGTACTTTTCTGTTGCCCTATTTTATAAATCAACATTGCATAGCTTGTTGGTTGATTTCAATTTTCTCGAATTTACTCATACTCTTAATGGCAATGACAACAGCACCCTTGATTTTTTTTATCAGCATTGCTGCTATTTTATACTTTGTACGCATTGTTATAAGAAGTTGTTCATTACTGCTGTTGCTCATTAACGGATGATTTGAATAAAAATTCTTTAACTTTAGTTTTATATGAAATTTTTATCCTGAACTCCACAAAATCTTTATCATCCAATGCATTGTTTTGTGATAAATTTTTATTCAAAAATTAAGAATTTCAAGTAAAAAAATTTAAACTTATAATTTAATGAATGGCTTTTTAGTAGATGGGGGTATTAAAATTTATAAATTTTATAATTTGCTTTCTATTTCTGCTATTGAATGTTTTTTAAATAATAATGATGATGATGATGATTGAGAGTCTCAACCATTTTAACATGAATGTGAATTTTCAAAAATAAGCATATATGCTTCCTAATAAATTATCCATCAAAATCTCTTTCGCATATTTTTTTTTTTGTAAAGTATAATAAATGAACAGCAACAAGAAAAACACAAAAATAACTTTTAACTCACCCAAATCAGCAAGTCCAAGACTGAAGCGATTGAAATCTTTTGCTTGGAGACCCGTCGCTTGGCTTGTTGTCTCTTGTAAGCGTTGTCGACCAACGGCAATGCCTATTGGTATGGCTTGTGTTGCCGTTGCACCTGCTGTGTTTCCCAAAAGATTTAACAAAAATAATTTTCATCCCGTGATGGTGATCATGATGTTGACGATGGTAATATAAAATGATGAAAAGAGATGGAAAATACAGAAAGGATTACAATTAGCAAATATTTGAACAATTAAAAAAACCGAAGAAAAAACAACTGGAGAACAGGGAATAATGAAAATTGTATGAAAGGGTGTATTGTCACTCAGAAGCGAGATGGAAGTACTGAATGACGAAGAGAAATTTCCCAAAGGATCATGAACAGTTTTTGACTGTAAATGATTCTTACATTATTTTTATTGGAGAGAAATGGAAATGATTTTTTAAAATTTTCTCGAATTATTAAGCGTGAATTGTACATTTGAGTAAAACTTATCAGTTTCTTAACACAAACCAAAATTTGTTTAATTACTAGAGATGCGCTTACCGTTATTTTGTCCACTATTATGACACGCATCCATATTCGTAGAAGCAGATGACGATGAAATTGATGTGATATTTGATTGTGAAGTACTTGTTGGTGACTTTTGTTCAATTTTGATTATTGTCGGTGTGCCAGTTGAGAATGATGTTGCAAGTAAGTTATTTGACGTTGTAACCTCAGATACTTGACATGGCTCTCGTTTAATTTGAAGAAGTGTTCCCGTTGCTGAATTATCTCCAACATTATTTGCATTATGTACATTTGCTGTTAATTGTTGGAAAGTTGATGAATTCCACGCAATCGGTAAAGTACGGCTACAACCGGCTCCATCAAAGTTTGTCTCGTGTGATGATTTATTTTGATGTTGCTGATGTAAATTTAATATACATTCATTGATGTTTTTATTAAGTTTTGAGGATTTTGATGAGCCTCGTTTATTGTTACTATTACTAGAACTGGTTGGTGTTTTTGACGATGAAGATGAGGTAGAACTACCGGAACTTATATTTTCAGACTTTATAGCCGGATTCGTTGCATAATTTGTAAGATTTGTTGGCGTCAAAGGTAAGTGAATCTGAAGTGGTTCAATTAATGATGATCCTGCTGTTGCTTCCCATCTTCCAATATCCGTTGGTCTTTTTATCGTTTGTGATGATGGCGTCGATGTTACTGTCGTTGTACAGTTGAGATAATCAGTTGCCGCTGCTGTATGTGACTGCACAAATATACTATTTGCCTATTTTAATTTCAAAAAGCGAAGCAAAGATAAATTAACATTAAATGGAGTATGAGAAAGTGGGTAAGAAGAAGAAAATGTAATTATATGGATCATTCAAAAATGCGACGGCAATTTTCATCATCAGTATGTCTATTGAATTTATAAATAGAATGACTTCTCCTCCCTATCATCTTTCAATATAAGAAAGAGAGATGAGAAAAAAGTACGTTCGACATAAAAAATGATGAGTTGGAACATGACACACGAACTACAAAGTGTTCGACAAATGAATGGAATCATGAACATTTTTAAGAATAAATCCGAACATATGATTTTTGAATAAGAGTCGTGAATAAATGTCTGCTGACTAATATTGAGAATCCTTTTGAAGGATTGCAGATTCTCAAAAAATGGGTCGTAATTTTGCAAAAGCCACCATCCCTAGATACTCATTCCTTCAAATTCTCAAAAATCATATTTACACGACTGTTTCAACATTTCATTTCATCTTAAAATTCAAATACTAGAAAAAATGTTAAAAAGAAATGAGAAAAAAAAAACTTTTGTTCGGAAAAAGGAAATGGAATGGCAAAAGAGGTGGTAACGATGATGATTTTTTTATGTTCAAGCAAAAAAAGCAATTTTTTTCCTTATGGCACTCTTCTTCATTTATTTTGTTGCCTTTCCCTCCTTGCATCAATACACAATACAAGGAACGTGACTATTGTGTTATGTAAGAAATTAGGTGATGACTTTTCTCTTACAAACGTTCAAAGTTATCTTGAAAATTGCAGCTCATATTTTTATAAAAACTTGCAAATCATATAAAATTCAAAAAAAAAACGTAACGTTTGTTGTAAACGAAAAAAATTAGACATTCAAGGAAAATTAGCTTCAAAGTTATGATAAGTCAAATAAGATGTTGTTGATGATACATAATGGACACCATCATGAGTTATTCGGTATTCATAAAAAATTTCTTACTTGACTAAATCCAACAGTGCCTGTATTCCAGTTTTTTACAAACTCAAATGGTAATGTTGGTATGAAAGGTGACGATGTTGCTGTAGCAGTTGTCGGTGATTGTGTAAATCCTGGTGCGAATATGCTGGTTGTATCAGTTATTGGTACTGTGTCTGAAAAAAGAAGAAGATAAAAATAAATAAATAAAAAAAACTTCTTTAAGAAACCATAAGAAGACATAAATAAGAATTATTGATCGGAATTAATAAATCTCAAATTTCCTGCTATGCTCAACAACAAATGAAAACTTTTACGCTCTTCATATTTTCATACGTCGTTCTTATAAATCTCTCTTATTTTGTAAAACTTGAATGGGAATAGAACTTTAAGAAGCTTCTTAGTAAGAGATTTGAAGTTGTAAAAGTCTCTTTATTTGGCTATAAGTGTGAGATATTTTTATTATTAAAAGCCTTTCGGTTATCATGCATGAATGAGTTAAAGAATTAAAATTAATGAGTATTTGATTATTTTTGGAATTGATGATTTGTTTATTGATAGATGTGATGGATAAGAACAAGTTCAAAATAAATTCTGTTTTATTATTTGTTTCAAAGAATTTTACTGCTCATAGCTTCAAACCAATGCAACATATATGTTATGCATTTATTCACAATTCTTAATGCAAGGGCATGACCATGAATAGTTAAAAGTTGAAAAAATAAAACAAAAATCTTTAAGCAACAACAAAAAATAAACTCAAGGAGAATAAAAAAAAAGCCAATCAACGTAAAGAGGTTCATAAATTTTCCCGTTCTTTTTTCTTCTCCATCATCGCATGTGCGATTAATACTGGATGGTAAAAAAACTTATATTTATATAATTTAAAAAGAAATACAGCATAACACAAACCATGCCATGGTTTCAAGTTTTTTCTGCTCTCCTTCTCGTTGTTTTCGTATGTATAAAAAAATTCTTCGAATTAAAGCAGCAGCAACGAGTAAAGTCGATAGATGGAAAGGAAAAGAGGCTTTAAGTGGCGGTGAGAGAGAAAAAAATATAAGCGAAAACGACAAATGAAGTTAAGAAATCTATTCGAGTGGAAAAATGATATAATATCTCCCTCTTGACTCCATCACTCTTGCTCTCTTATTCGCTTATTCTTATATGTGTTGAGTAAACTGCTTGTTTAGCATTAGCAATGAGCTGTTTATATCACATGATGTGTGTATTTTCACTCGGTGTTTGAAGGAGTATTTTTGAAAGATTGAATCGAACTTCCTTCAATTGCATTTCTGATGATGAATTTTTAAATCTAAACTTTTAATTCCTGAAGTTTTTTTTTACAAAAAAACATGAAATTTTTTAAGGAACTCCAATCCTTGTGATACGAATGAGCAAAATATAAAGGGACATACACAAATGAATTCCTTTTACAACAACATCATCAGCATCCTAAAAAGTACAATAAATTTTGTCTTCCTCACATCCAAGAATGAGTGTGCAGCATTCTGAAGACAAAATACGAAACAGAAACAAGCAAGGCAGAAAATAATATAAAAAGTTGATGAAGAAGAAGGAATCTTGAAATGTGAGGAGAGAGATCGCTTCGTGGAGATTTCATGAAATGTTTAATTTTTTTCTTTTTCTTCAGGAATGCTCAGTGTAGGGTGAAATGTTATTTAAGTTAAAAAAGAAGAATGAAAAAATTCTTATTCAGTCGATGTCGCTGTTTGTTTTTTATATTTTTTTTTCGAAGAAAAAAGAAAGAATTTTTGAAAAGAAAAGTAAGTAACACGAAATCAGCTGAAAGTGAAATGGAATAAGAAGAAGTTGTCAAGGAATTGTATAATAACAGATCATAGGGTATTAGATTAATAAGCAAATTTCTAGGTAATTACACATTAGTGTAGGAAAATGAAGAAAACAAAATGACATTTAAACTCAATAATTTCGACCAATAAGCATTTTTAATTTTAAAAATTCTATTCATGGTAAAGATAGAGATTAATAAAATTTTGAATTAAACAGAATAAGACAATTCCTTCCATTCATTCATTAGCAATAAGTGTCTTAATAATTTTCTTTATTTTAATTGTTTAATTTATAAATAAAGTGCGTGTTATAAAGAAATTAAACACATTTAAGCAATTGCAATAATTAAGGCAATAATGCAAAATTATGTGAAGTTTTTCATTCACTTGAGATATTTGAGATATTTTGAAGCTGACGAGAGCGAGTAAAAGGTAAGATATAATAATGAGCAATAATAGCATTAACTTCAATGAATTATAAGCTTATAAAAACGCAAGCACATCATTTGCATAATAATGCACATAAGTTACTTACTTACATACTAACAACTCTCATTTCTGTTCATAAAATTTCATCGTCAATGGTTTGGAAATTTTATTTTTGCCATGTAAGGAGATGAAAAAGATGAGATTGTGAGGTTTTAATTAAAACTTTTTGGTTACTTCCTGTTCATTATTACTATCTAAATGATTCTTCCAACCTTTCGTTTTGATTCTACCCCCATGTCATGCCATACAAAAAACCACGTAAGACTAAATTCAACAATCTAAAATCTTTCGAATTATTGATGAGAATTTTCACTCAAATTCGTTTCTCTTCCCATCCTACTTCCTTTATGTTTGACATTTAGGATTCTTGCATATGCAATCACGTATGATTGCATATCATTTATCCTTACAAACAATTACGCATACGAGCATCATGTCGATCACAAATGAAATAAGTAGTAAACTTGATAAGAATAGGAATTGCACAATTAACTATTGCACAAAATTGTATGAATTTTGAATGAGTTGCTGGTATGAATAGGTATGCTCAAACATTATATTCACTTTTCAATGCATAATTCATTAAGTGAAATAATGCCATTAAATGAAAAATTATGCGTTTTCCAGGAACGTTTAATATTAAGGCAAACATTTCTCTAAATATCCCTCATTTTCATCAGTAATAACTATAGTGACCACTCAATTGAATAGAATTGAACTGAATGAGCTGCGTCTTAAACTTAATAATAATAAAAAGGGGAAGTAAACCCTTTTATGGTCAAACTTAAAATTGAAAAGATGATTTTAAAAAGGACCAAAGAAGAAATAAAGTGTTTTTGTGGTTGTAACAAAAGGTATTGTGGTTAGCATGACTTTTCCCTGCTTGTCGTTTTTTCAACATGAAATTTCTATCTTTTCGCACAATGGTCTTGAGTGACATACAAACGAGTGTCAAGCGGCACACGCATTAACATTTCACACCATTGTTTATGTATGAAAATATTTTCAGATCGATTAATAATTTTTTTTTATTTTATTGCTTGTTGTGTGCACTGACATGAAAAATGCTCACATATTCGTAATATGCAGTTTCTGATTAAGATAAGTTAAGAGTAAAGAAAATGCTCGTCAAATTTGTGATTAGGTGCGCATAATTTTTAAAAGTTTTATGTATCTAAATTTGATAAAAAAAAACCAAACTGCTTCCAGTTCACTTTAAATTTATTTGAAACATGCTAATAACTATGCACGCAACAATGCACTGTATATATGTTTTTAATTCACTGCCTCGCTGATTTTGATTGATGAGCGTATTGCATTGTACTTGTACTTCTCTTGAGTGCTAAAAATTAATGCATGGAATGTCCGAGACATTAAAAGAGGCTTTTAATATAGAGCCACAAAATGAACATCTAAGTTCTTCTTTTCATGCAGGCTGACTCCATATGAGATTGCAATTAATCGATTGTACAAAGAAATAGCATCAAATCATTGTGCATGAACATTTTTTGCTATCTATTTGAATTAAAGTTATAAGATTTAATGCATGGAATTTATTTCGATATGATGCATTCTTTTATGCTTTACATACAAACATAGGTTTGAGGATTGATGTGTGAAAACAGAATTTATGGAAAATAAATGTTTGATTTATAAAACAGATAATATTTTTTTTACTGAAGAGAATTAAGAGTGGAAATAAATATTTTTGCATATTTGTAGCTTAACGCACATTTCACTACAAAAACAATAGCTTCTTATATGGTAATTTGAATGCATTTAACTCTAATAATAAAAAGAAAACATCAAAAAGATGAACAAGATGAGATAGTAAAAATCTTCATTAAAGCACATTGAAGGGAAATCAGAAGATGAAGTAAAAATTTAAGGCATGGAAACAGAATTATTCATTAATTGAGTTTCTCAGGCAAAGAAGGAAAGATGTGTTTGCTGTAGAAAAGAAAAATTCCCATCGGCAAGTTCTTACGCTTTAAAGCATAGCCTTACATCCATCACCTCCTTCTTCCCATCTTCCCTCCTATTTTGATTTCATTTAATTCCTTTAGAGATATTCATTCTCATTTCATGCAATCACTAAATGTAAATTTTATGTTTTTTAAATGTTAGTTTATTTATTATTTTTTATTATTATTATTATTTATTTGTCGACGTTACCGTCCGGAAGAATTAGTATTTATACATGTTTTACTTTTTACATTGATTAGTGATACATTTCATATCACTATGGGTGACGTAAAATCAAGCTTCTAATCTTCAAATCTAGGTTTCAAATAAACTAAGGCTCTCGTTTCAATCTTCTGTAGGCGTGACGTGATACATTTCAGGTCCGTTCTGACAATATTCCATTATAAGGTAATCTTGTAGCTCTCGTTCCTATTTCTCCCGCTACACTTCAAGTTCCTGATCCGTTCTTTAATCCAACGTTGCCCAAAATGCCCAATTATGGCTTGACTCGTACATTAAGCAGTCGAAGTATCTAAACTTCTGAAAAAGAACAAATTTGGAAATTGCTGGATTCGAACCGACGACCTTCGAGTTACCATACCAAATTTGAGCCAAGCGCCTTAACTGCTTCAATGGTCGCAGCGTAATGAAAAGTGTTAAAGAAAATAAAATTGTGCTTTGTTTAATGAATGGAAAGAAAATATATCGAAAATAACAAGGTTTTGCAATCTAATCCTATAACTACAAAAAAAAATCATAAAATTTACAAAGAACATTTTGGGTACACTAATATGTAGAGGAGGAATGTTGGAGTGAGATTAATTAAAATTTATCACTGTTCTGATTTATATTTATTATTGTCTATTACAAATGTGTGATAGACTGTAGTTATACGAGCTGAATACAAAAGAATGAACAAAATAAAATTTCCCGATTTTTCATGCATTTTTTTATCTTTTTTTCCCTGTTTCAAAAAAATTAGGCATATGCGAAAATTGAAGACCAAAACAATCATTTTCACAAGAGTTGAAAGTGAACAGCATAAAACTAGACGGCAGATTTTTTTAAAAAGATTAAATTCGGACTTGATTTTTGATGCCAATGTTTTTACTTTCTAGTTTATTTCAGTCCCATTGATTGAAAAGATCAAAATTTTATAGGGTTAAAAAACTACACTTCCTTTTCTTTATGCAGTTTTGATTAACATTTTTTTTGCCATAAAAGTTCTTTTTCACATTTAAAATAAATAAAATTGTAGAAATAAAAATAGTTTAATTTACTTTTGTTGAAGTTTTAATAAAATATGCATAACTTTATCTTGTTCCATATTTCTCTGTATTTCCATTTTTACAATTCTCATACACCTAGTATTGATATAAAAATAAATGCAAAATTGAAACACATATCTACCGACTATGTAGATTTTATTGTTATTGTTGCTATTGCAATAATGTGTTAAAATTGGGTCAACTATGGCTTGAAAAATGAGAATATTATGACCCGTTTCTGCTGCATCCAAGCGCAAGCTTTAAATTCTCTTCAATGGATCAATAATATGTACTCATTTTCTCTCCTCTTTCCATTGCCTGTATTATATATTTTTTTCTTTAAAATGTATGGATTAAATGGTTGCATTTATTATTTTCTGTAATATGTAGCAGCAAAATGTAAAATTTGTGGGTTTTAAAATTTAAATGTTTGAATAAATTTCCATTAGATAAAATTCCGGGATTTAGTTTAAGCTTAACCCTAGTAAGCAGAATTAACTGTTGAAATAAAATTTTATGAGCAAATATAAAATAAAGGTTAACGAGCTAATTTTTGAGAAGTTAAAAATTATTATAAAATACTTGATTCAAACAACTTTAAAATAAATTACAGTCAAAGTTAAATAGTTTAGGTTTTATAATGAATTGTATGAGCTTGTCCTTGTTTGTAAATAAGATAACCATTAAATTTTATTTTATGCAATAATTAATAGCATTCAAAATTGGTAAAGGGACGATAGTTAAATCAACTTAATAATTAAAATTATTTTTCAATAATCTTTTTATTTCTAGTTGCACATGGATATAATAAGTTATCAATAAAGATTATGGATTGCAAATAATTTCATTTTCTCAGAATTGTCATTTAATTGAAATTTATTTCAAGAAAACACCGTTTAAAAATTTTTTATTGTTGCTTTAATAATCCCCAAAAAGTGACGGAAAATATTATTTCAATTAAATTCCACAGAGCAAAAAGAGCACACCAAAGTTAGTGCAATCAACCATTTTTAATGTCAACGTTATAATTTATGGCATATAAATCTACCTTCATATGGAGAGATTATTTTCCAATAATATTTTGCTATGTGCTTTATTTTGTATAGTTATAAATATCCCTCGAACAAATACATACTCATATATCTGCGACAATCAGCATGCAAAAAAAAACATAATTTCCACTTAGAATTTTCTGTATTTTTCAGAATAAAAAGGAGCAGCAGCAACAAAAATACAACAATATCGTCATCATCATCCACTTCGTCGTCATTATAGTTTATAGTTCTACGAAAAATTTATTGCACAAATGTCCGATGCAGAAGCTACAATTCAATTTCTGAATTGTTGATGATGCATTGCACACATAAATACATTTATTATGTTGATTCAATGCTCGAAAAACTTCTCCAAACTGACATTTTTAAAATTCATTATTTCCATTTTGCGATGAGAAATTTATTTACTTCAATAATATTTTCAAAGTAATCAAGCGTATTTACAGTTGCTTCAATAATGTCGCGCATTTATTGTGCAGACTAAAAGTTGAAAATTAAAATTTATGGAACACTTACAAATTCATAATACTTAAAATTTAATATACATATAATAAAGAAGAAGTCAGGCAGTCAAAATTGAGATAGAGCACATCTAAAAATTTGTCGTGATTGGAATGAGGAATGAGACATTATGAGACAAATGAATATGTCTTTCTACAAATGAATAGAACTACTGCTGCTGCTGTTTTAATTCTGTCAGTGCATTTTCTATTTGTGATTTAAATTTTTTATGCTTCAATTTCCAATCAAACTAGCCCCATTTGGTTATATTATGAATGAAATGTGTTCTGTTGAGTATGTTATACACAAAAATAAAATACATGATTTGAATTTTCTTTGCATTGGCAATGAAATTATTTCATGAAATACAAATACTGAGAAATGAAAAAGAAGATACGATAATTCTACCAGGGAGGTCTAATGAATAGAAATCGACTCCCGCGCATTTTATTGAATTTTCCATGTGCATTTCAATATGTATGCATGTATATTGCAGTTCAAGATCATCACAAGTTCAAAGTCAAAAACAAAAGAAAAGAGTCCACAAGAGAAAACTGAACAGAAGTAAGTGGAAAAGACATAAAGAAAAGATTCTTAACTAAGATAATTATTTGTCCCATGCTGTAATTCATACTGAATTTCATTACGGAACAATGTTAATGATTTATTGAGCTGAATAAGCATATACACATTTATGTGACATACGATTGAATTTTGATTTTATATTTATAGACATTGATATTTTGATTGAAAGAGTTTAGGGTTCACTATATGATGTGAATTATTCATTGTATTTGAGATACAGTAGGGAAATATGTGGTTGGATATCCGTGCCGGTTGAGGTTTTCAAAACCATTTTGTGATGAATTGTATTCATTTGAATTAAACTTTGTAAGGAGTTTAAAAAATGTTTAGCTGTTCTAATAAAAGTTTAAAATTTCAATTCTGAATAAAAATAGACGAACATTTTTTGGTGTTGATGAAAAAGCGTTCATTGACACCGTGTTCAGAACAAAAATGAAAAAGAACTAAGTGCTTGCATAAATTCTGTTTGCATTAGCAAAGTGCAAAAATGTTTTGTTTGAAGTTCGTGTAAGCACTCAGGCACTTTTTCAGCATTTCGTTGAATTGTTGTTGCATTTTTGTTTCTGTAATGGAAATGAAGACTTTTTTTTTCGGGAGAGCAAATGAAAAAATATTGTGAACTGTTGAGCACAAATGCAAAATGAGAGAATACAAAAAATTCTGTACAAAATAAACAAAAGAATTTTTGACTTACATTCACTTCCATTTGCTTGAAATGTTGTTGTTGCTGTTGGCCATATACTGCGATTAAATTGTGTCTGATGTTGATTGTTAATATTATTTGTTGAACCAGCAGATGGTCCAAGAAATCGTGCTCCATTACCTAACATGCCTTCCTAATCTGAGTAATTGTAGGCAAGCTGCAAAGAGACAGAAATTAAATACACATTAATTAAAATACTCTGAATAATTATACATCTTTCAAATTTGGCTAAAATATTTGTGGATGGTAAAAATAGATGAATAGATAAACACAAATATTTCCTAATCAAATAATTATGATGAGAAAAGGTATTCCTTTACCTCATTTCTTCTTCTCATTACCGTCAGAAAATATTTTCGTTTAACTTGAAAGTTATTTGATGGGATTTTTATACTTCACGGATCGATAATATAAAAGTTTTTAACAACCATTCATTTGCCTTTTTATCAAATTAATTAAAGAAGGAATTTTCCTGTCTGTATAACTCATATTCTCATATTAACAAGATGAAAAATTTCAATACACAAAAAAGTTTCTTAAATTTTTCCTACAAACTACAAAAAAAAAAAATGCCACAAAGAATAATAATTTCATTCCGTTCAAAAGTAATGATTCATTTATGTACTTATTGTTGTGTAGTCTAAACATTTTTCTCTCTTTCTTTTGTTGATTATGCCCACATTTAGGAACTTCGGTAGCATATAAAAAAAGCCAAAAAACCGTAGATGAACAAGAAACTTTTTCTTTACATTAAAAAAGCATAATAAGAATATCATGGACATGAATACAAATAGAATGAATATTGTACATATATGAGGAAGGAAATGAATGAAAAATTTCCCATTGTTTACTAAGCAGGAAGGAGAAAAAATTATTCAATAAGCATTTTTTCGATTATTAGTATTGACTGGAGATAAAAAACTCCTCCTTCAGATTTATTCTTTTGCTATTTCTCTGTTTTTAGATAAATTTCAGGAATTGAATATATCATATGAAAGAATTAGCAACAGGAAGAAATTCATCATCTAATGGAAATGACAAGTAACTGTATAGATAGAATTTTTGATTCTGCAAAGACTCTGTACTTGAAATTCCATCCCTAGGTTTTTTCTCCTAATAATACAGAACTCGATTCAACTATGAAAATATTCGTAACATTACTGCGCCCTAAAATCATATATAAAAGTAACAGAACCATACATCTTATAACCGCGTAGTCTTTAGTAAAACAAATAGCAAATTGTGTGTAACATGGAAAAGAATTATTGCATCGAATGAACTATGTCATGCCCCTTCAATGTAAATCATTGCATTAGGTATTTTTGATAAAGAACTTAATTTTTGGATATGTTTTTTCGAGAGGTAGTTGATTTTTAATGTATTGGACCACAGCAGATTTTTACCTTTCAGAGACTTAGCAATGATAAACTTGGATAAACTTTACTTCAATTCCAATATTCTTTTCTTATTTCATCTTAAAGTCATGTGCTGAATTTCACATGATTATTGTTTATGTTTGTTCAGTTTTCATAATTTTTTCACGATTCAAAACCCGATGATAAATTCAAAGACAGAGAGGATTTTCTTTCCTTCTCTTTTTTCCACCGGTTTGAGTCTGCGCATCCAGAACTGAGAGGTTTATAGAAAGAAAAGTAAACAAAAAAGTAAAATCCATATGATAAAAATTATTATTTAGTTCAAGATGTTAACGAACTATGTATATCATTGTAAGAATACATATGGATAGACGTAGATAAAAATGTGAAGAGTTCATTCTTAAAATTTTATAACAGCATTGAAATGAAATTCAATTTCAACATCATTATACTTTCAATAAAATTCCATACATCTTATATAATATATTTCCAGTCGCGTACGATAGATTTCAATTTCAAGATACCAATGAAAAATAATATAACAAAATGCACGAATGTAGAAAAATCCATAGCAACATGAAATGAAATTGAAACCAAAAGAATGAATGACAAAACCATATTTTTACATCTTCTGTCTCCTTGTGATGTCGATGACAATTTCTTTGTCAATAATAAACAGAGGAAACACATAATATTTTTCGACTACAGAAATCAAATCTACGTCTACAAGAATATTGTGATGCTGTTGTTATAGCAAAAATTTTATGTGGTTGAATTTTAGAATCGAATCGCGAATAGAGAAGCCTTTTTTCAATGCTGGATTTTGGTTTTAATAATTCAAAACCTGTGCCACAGACTTAAAAGTTTGTCAGTCAATGCATTATAACATAAAATGCTCTCTTTATTATTTAGAAAATTCTTGATTCAAGTCAAAAACTTTTTAATTTCGTATAGAGTCACATGTGTAAATTTACGCTTATGTAATTTCTTGTAAGACAATAACAACAACTCAAAAACATTTCAAAACATTTAATCTCGCACGAAAAGTTTGTCCTGACACTCAGACTCTTCCTGATGCTTCCAAGTGTACTCTTAGTGAATAAATAAGAACATATACACATAATTTTGTAGGAATGTATATGCAGTGATGGAGGAAAAGTTTTTGTTCATATTTAAGTATGATACGCTTTGTGATCTGCATTTTATTTCACAAATTTGAAAAACATGAACAATTTTCCTTTCTATTCTATTCTCCATATTCCATAGACATTCAAAAATTAACAAAAATATGAATTTCATGATAAAGTTTTTATATATTTTTTCTTATGTGTCATTCAACTACGTGAAGTCATACAAACACATCTATGAACAGCACAAAAAAGAAGTTCATCTCATAAAGTTTTCATCACAGCTCAGAGCTCACAGATTTATTTTATGTTCGTTCATTCAAAAGCTTAGTTTGCATGTAAAGTAATGGCACTTTTTTTTTATTTATACTCATTCCTTTTTGTGTGCTGTGATCCTATGCTGCATGAAAGACTAAAACGTTGAAGTTCCATTAGCAGCACAAAAAAATTCATTTTCAAATTTGTTTCGCAAATTTCATTTCGTAGAATGAAATAAAAAAATACCGATTTTATGCTAATTAGGGGACCACTTCTTTCCATCCATGGATATTAATGGTATGGAAATTGTATAAACACAGGCAAAGGCATAAAAACTTTTACTGACAAAGTTCATGCATAAATCATTTGTAAAACTTTCTTGTTTGCATTTTTGTGTGCTCACTTTTTTCGGGAGAGAAAGGGAACGAAAATTTTAATTGAAACCGAGAACAGACAGAAGCTGCTGATATTTATGGACATTATTTTTTTTGTAGAATTTTTTAATGAAATGGTTTGTGCGTATGAATATTTACTGCTGAAATTTTTAAAATCATGTCTCATATCTTCAGTTATGAGCTGTCCTTTGAAATCCTTTAAACTTCAATGATTCTCATCAACAAATCACACAAAAATTCATCAATATATTCTTCATCTAGCTAATTTCCCATGATAATAAAAATAAGCACAAAGCAAATTTAAGACACAGCAGAGAATCTGTTGGAGTAAGAGTCGAATTTATTTTGTGTTAATTAATTTAATTTGTTTGCTATTTATTTAATTCCTCCTCTTATTTTATACGAAAAAGAATTCCCTGTTCTTTTTTTTTCATTTTCACTAAATTTTACAGTCTGTTGCTTGTTGCTTCCAATAATCTCAGCAATGTGAAGAAAAAGAGTTGTCGTGGAAAAGAACGAAAAATGAAAAATTCCCATTGTACACATATGCAAATAAAGGCTTCATTTCTTATTTTTGTTATTTCAATAAAACACTTGCTTGTGTTTATTCAAATTCACCTCTTGCTTTATTTCCTTATTATAAAAAAAATTGTACATTTTTTGGAATTTAATTTACCCCCAACGAGAAAAAGGGAGAAATTACTCATCACATGCGTGTTTGCTTCTGTCTATTTGTGTTTCTAATTATTGAAACCTGACAAACCTCACTGAAGACACACGTGTGAGAAAAAATTATTAATTTTTAAAGGATTGTTATTCATTTGGGTTGTTTATTAAGTAGAAGGAATTTTATATAAATTTAAAACATTTCAAAAACTTTATTTTTAATCAGATTTTCACAATAATCAATTTTTAACGATGGTCTCATGAAATTTATCTAATCAACCATTTCATCCACTTAAAGCTTATGGAAAAATTCAGCATAAATCCGGAAGAAAAATAAAAAAGAATTTATTCAACTGGAAATCTACTTTAAACACTTTTTCCATTACAGAAAAATGTAAATTTTAGGCATGAAAAAAATTAACGATGCGAAAGATAAGAGAAGCAAATTTCCGTAGGAAAAAGATTTTCCCTCATGAAAACCTTTCATTATCCTCAGCATCAACATAAGTAAGAAGTCCACAGCTCGTATATACTGCATTTTTTATTTCCTTATACCCACGGTTGAGGATTGAATTCTCATACTCCTTAAATTTAATAAATTCACATTGGGTTTTGTTGTTTGGGTTCAAGGAATAATTTTTTGTGTACGCTGCTTTTATGAGGTTCTACAATATGCATAATGAGCGATTTTTTAATGTGCAAATCCATTAAATATAAAATAAAGAAAAAAAGTTCCATTTCGTGTCCATGAAGTGCTTCCTTTATTTTACATCAACCCACACAATTCTTTCTCCTACTTTTCATGCTGCTTTAGTCAAAAGAATAACGAAAATAATAATTTACTGTGCAGTCAGCATAGAGGTGGTAATAATGAGTAACATCAGTATCAGTACTGAACAATATCATCATAAAGTAAGTATTCGTCCCACCTAAACTAACCTTTATCTCACTCTTTCAACTATGTGTTCTGAATACTTTTTATATATTCAACTCTTTTGTGTGTATGTATAATTTATTTATTTAATTTCATTTAACAATGACTGAAGGTGGTAACAGCTGCAAGCACCAGCAAGGTTGCTAATAAACATTTTTAGTAGATGAAAAATAATAAAAGTTTTCTTGCAGCAACAGCACAGCAATTGTGATCTACACGAACAATAAAGATGTAAATTAAATTTGCATTTGCATAATCTCCAACACACACGTATTAATGAACAGTAAAGGAACGGGGCAATGACAATTGAAAAATTTCACAGCAAGTCGCAAAAAAATTCAGAACGGACAGTATTGTACAATTTTATTAGTATTTGCGATTGATAGTATTGATAGTATTAG